CACAATATATATCTTCTATTTTATCCTTTAGACTTTTATATCTAACTGCAGTAATTAAAGGTGCATTGGAAAATTGTTGAAATAATTGTTCCTCAAACCATATTTCTTCATTATTTTTAATAGAGTTATGCTCAAAAGAAATATGCCATTCGTTCTTTAATTCTCCAAATTTAATAGTAGTTATCATGAAAACTTCATGTGTATTATCTTTATATTTTTGATTAGTATTAATTTGAGAAAGAGCATCAGCATTAGCATTTAGTTTTTCAGGTTTATGCTTAATTTCAAAATCATATTATTGGAGTTCCATAATCTATCGTGTTCTCTTTCCTTTAGGAATTTTTGATGTTTGTAATTATTTAAGAGCTAAATGGTTAGTAATAATGGTAAAAGGTTGTAAGCTTAAATAATAGTGAAAATATCTCACAGCCTATACAACTGCAAGGCATTCCTGGTCGATTATTCCATAATTTTGTTTGGCTTTATTTATACTTCTGCTACCATATGCTATTACACAATCGAGTCCACTTTCTAACTTTTGAGAAAGAACAGCTCCTAAGTCATTTTCAGAAGCATCAGTATATAGAATAAACGGTTTATTAAAATTTGGATATTGCAAAATGGGTGCAATAATTAATTTTTCTTTTAAAATATCAAAAGCCTTTTGTTGAGCATCTGTCTAAGAGAACAGTTCTTCCTTTTTAACAATTAAATTAAAGGTTTAGCAATTTTTGAAAATCCTGAAACAAATCATCGATAATATGAGAATAACCCTAGTGCAGACCTTAAACTTGTTAAGTCAACTGGAATGGAAAAGCTTTTAACTTTATAAATTTTTGCAGGATCAGGTTATAATCCATTCCTTCCAACCACATGTCTTAAGTACGTTATATTAAATAGACAAAAGTGGCACTTTTTAAGCTTAATCATTAAATTTGCTTGCTTGATCGCTTAGAATACTTTTCTCAAATATTGATTATAATTCTCATAAGTTATTGAGTAAATGATAATGTCATCCAAATAAACAGCAATGAATTTATACAAGAATTCTTAAAGAATATGATTCATTAACCTTTGAAAGGTTGCTAGTGCATTTTTTAAACTAAAAGGCATAATGTTGAATTTGTACAGGCTAAACTAAGAAATAAAAGCAGTTTTTTTCTTGTCTTTTTCACTCATTTCTACCTGTCAATAGCTACTAGCAAGGTCAAGTGTAGAAAACCAATTTGTTCCTCTGAATTTCTCTAATAAGTCATTAATTCTCGGTAGAGGATATGCATCAATTTTAGAGATAGAATTTAATTTTCTGTAATCAATGCAGATTCGTTTATCTCCAATTTTTTTTACTACTATAACTACAGAAGAAGCCCAGAGGCTTAATGACTTTCTGATAATTCTATTTTCTTCTATATACTTGATTTCATCTTTGAGAAAATTAAGTTTCACTGAATCCTTACACTTATAAGCTCCTGTGGTAACTGGATCATGATTATTGGTCAAAATATTATGTTTTATCAAACTAGTTCATCCAATTTTTGTTTGGCTTAAAGCACATATATCCTTGTAATCATCAATTAATTTTTGAAAAGACATTTATTGCTTGTCATCAAGAGGCCTAACTTGAAGGTTATCTTTAATTTTTTTTAGAAATTTTAGCAAGAAATACTGCTATATTAGGCTCAAATTCTTCCTTAAATGCAAGAGTTAGATAGACAGAGTTTTCTCCATTCCTGGATTGTAATCAAGAAGTAAAAGTCAGTTTTCTTCTCATATTCTTCTTGACTATATGCTATATAAGCTTCAATTTCGCTAAGTTCTTCTTCCTTATAATCATCTAAAACTTGTTCTAATTCGTTATCTTATTGATCTTGAGTAGTAGGATAACTAATAGGAGCTTCATTTGCATTAGAAATCACAGGAACTATGATTGTTTTCGCTAAATATCTCAACCTAATCTAGTTAGTTTCAAAATCAAGACTAGCATGAGTTTTTCTAAACCAGTCTGTTTTTAGAAGTAAAGTTTCATCTTGAAAATCGATAACTTACAAAGAGATAGGAATTAATAGGTTTTGAATAGCAATTTAAGCCTTTCTAACTTATCTTAATACTTTAGTTCTTTTTCTATTAGCAGTAATTATGACAGTATTAGACTGTTCATCGATAGATAATCCAACTTTCTTCATTAATTTTCTAGTGATAATACTGACAGTAGCTTCAGAATCTAGGATAACAACTATAGGATTTTTTTTAATTTTGACATAATAATGAATAGCTGTAGATTTGTCTTCCTTTTTTTCTTCACTTTTTTGATTAGCATAATTTGTTTTTTGGATTTTTGATCTCCTCAACCCTTAAGCAAGATTATATCTTTGATTTGGATATTACAAAAATTGACCAATTTTTGCAGAAGAAGACATTTGCAATAAATCCTGTATAACATTATAGAAAAGTATTTGATCGATTTATAATAATCCTCATTTGACTTTCTTTTTTGGAGTAGGGGTAATAATTTGTGAGGTTTCTACTTCCATAAATTTATCAATAGGTTTTCTGCTTTTTAAGTTTAATTCTCTTCTGAATTCAGATTGTCTTTTCCTTTCTAAATTGTCAAGCAGTTTTTCTATTAGTAGTATAGGGCTTGTTTCATGGTAAGGCATAGACTTCTTTCTCCTCTACTTCTTCAACTTCCTTTTCCTCACTATTAGTATAAACTTAAACATAACTAGCTTCTCTTTTATCAGATTTCTTTCGATATACTAGTTTTTCAGACATGTATTCTTTTGAATAATGTCTTTTTTCTTAACAACAGAAATAAATAACATCCTTTTTATCCTAAACTTTCATAAGATTTCTATTATCTTTTGGCTTTCTTCTTTCAGATTTTTCTTTAAGTTATGCAGACAATGCATTGAAAAGAGTTGCATAATTTAAGGATAACTGTTCTATTTGTTTGATAAAATTATTGATAGTATTATTACTTCCATTTGTTTGAGTTAGTATAGGAGATTGTTATTTATAATATTGATTATTCTCAACTTATTTAGCTATTTCAATAGCTTTATCTACATTTTTAAGGTAAGAAAATACTACGAGAGGATAATATTCTTCCTTAATCTATTAAGAAAAAGTCTCACAGTATATTTATCTGATAAGGCACTAGAAGAGTCGATTTTCTTTAACAATCTTTTAAATTTTCTTACATAAAAATCTACTTTTTAATACGGTCCTTGATAGAGTGTATTTAACTGATGGTATTATAAATTTTGCTTCTCCTTAGTTGAGAATTTTTCTAAAAATAATGGTACAAAACTTGTGGTAGCATTATCATCTTTATTCTATCAATTAATAGTATCATCATTTTCTTTAAATCAATATATAGCTAGTCCATACAGGTATCCTAGTATAATTTTCAGCATGCAAGCTTTAGACTAATTATTTGCTTTAGCAGCAATTTCAAAGCTTCTAATTTAATTATTAGGGTCTTTATTATCATTTCCATAGAAAGGTTTTACCAGAATAATATTACTTTCTTTTGATATAAGATTTTCACTATTTCTATCTGAATCAGATAATATACTTTTGATAACTTTAGCAAGATCTTTAAAACTTTTTGTCATGTGACCCATGAAGTTCTTTAACTGTTTAGTATTCATTGTTATTTTAGTTGATTCAGAGGTTATAGATGTGGGAGTAAGGAGTGAAATA